GGGAAATAAAATCACTGATGACCAAACTGGGTGCCGTGATTCCGTCTCGAGTTCCACGCTGGAGTCCACGTGACCCGCCTTGCGCTTGGCTAGACTTCACAGGGCATGGCTTACAGTCGACACCAGTGGCGTGTCTGCTCCCACTTCCTAGTCGGATTGCCTGATTAATGTGTGTTTGGTGCTGACTTATCTGTAGGATACTAGCTAATTGTGACTCGAGACAGTGAAAACCGCAGGGTAGCTCTCTGGCCGAAGCCGCCTTATCTTTGCATGATAACCAGCTGTTTGTGACCGTATTTTGTTGACAAGGTGTAGGCGCCTTGACCTTGAATGTTTCTTTAGGGCATTAAAGTTTACGTTAGGTCCCACTTCCCGCCCTCTTATTGTTTTTCCTTCCGTTGGTCACCTCGGGTGTACGGCAGCTAAACTGATGTCTTGATGTTGATGATAATGATGACGATGAACAAACGCCCTATCAGAATTGCATTCATTAACACTTGCTACGAGTTTTCGTGCTAATTCTTCTCACATGGTACGGAGACTTGTTAGCAACTGTGGGCTTCAGTATTTATTTATTATAGACACCGGTAATATCGAGCCATTTATTCCGAAGTCGTGTTTTGAATGTCTAACTCAGAAAGATTCATTGGGTCCAACGTCTATTTATGTCAATAGGATAGCTGGGTATGCACTTTCTATTCTTGTCTCATGTGGATTATTTCTCTCAGAGGTCACTTCAGGTTAATCTGGTGTATTATTTCCTTATGGATTCTAGCTGTTTTAGCATAGGAATTAGATGTGTGAAAGTCTGAAAATTTCGTACTCGTTTTCACTTCACTCACTTGTTGCACAATGTTTGAATGCTTCCGTTAGTATGCACATTAAGTCCGTCAATATAGACATCCCAGAAATTCCCGTGATAGTTAAAAGACGACTAATACTTTTCGGGCTCCGGAAGCCAGTGAGGAAATCACTTAGTGACACCGGTCCAGACTCCAGTTTGGGCTACTCCAACTGTCATTTCAGTCAGGCGTGACGGTAAAACTCCCAGGATCAGTGACGGCTATCGGGAAACACTAAACAAGTGTTGTACCACTGCAGAACCTGAGGATGTTTTTCTACAGCTGGGTTGATGTAAGGGTTTTTCTGAGCTCAATTTTTAAGCGCTTACTTACAGATACCTCTTGAAGAACAGTTGATTGCTCTTGCCACTAAAAAGAAATTTTCGTGTTATTTCGTTGCGACTTTTTACACTTTGGTCTCACTGTACCAACGTCAGTATTGTTTTATAGTTTTTCTTTTTATATCCCTCCGTTCTCCCGCCCCCGGTATTTAGTTTGCCTCCCCCCCCTGGCTCCCCCCGGCATATTTCGTATTGATTTTTGCCTTTCATCGCCCCCCGTCTCGCCAATCAGAACCCCGTTTTTATTTGAGTGGCTAGTCGGGGGTTTCCTGGAAACTCTATGTGTGATTCATTGTAGGCTTCTGGCGGCGCACTGGTGAATAAAAATTTTTTCTTTTTTTTTTTTTTTTTTTATTTGGTTTTTTTTTTAAAAATCTTTTTGCTACGCTCGCCCGGTCCTCCTTCGGTTACTGCATTGCATTTGTGTCGTGCTCGGGGGTGGGAAGTGAATAAGAGTGTAAAAAGGCATAGAAACTTGATCACAAAAAGAAAAGATAAGAGCGCAAGGAAGACGGAAAAAAACGTAATGGGTGTTTTGTATGACCCTAGTTTATGGGAGTAAAACTCCTTTCAAAACGGCACGCTTGCTCTTCATTGAGACGAGGCACATCCTTTGGTCTTAGTAGGGATGTGTTTCGGTTTTTTTGGTTATCGCTGACGTTATTTGTTTACATTGTGTGTGGGGGAGGGGGGGGGGTAAGGGGCTTTTTGTGGAAGTTTTAATTTTTATATATACTATGGCCATTTTTAAATTTTTTTTTTGTTTTTTTTTTGTTTTTTTATTGTTTTTTTTTATTTTTGGTATTTTTTTTTTAATACTGATTTCTGATCAGTGAGGATGCGTTTGGGTATGTTGTTTGGTGCATTCCGAATTATCGTCTTTGACGTAGTGTTTTTTTTTGTCTCGGCTCTATGGTCATTCCCGCCGCGGATGGATGGGGGGTGATGGGGAGGTGGTGTAAGTCGCGGTTGTGTTTTTGTGTGTGCCGGTCGGGGTACGGGGATGTAAATGTTTGTTCTCGATATTCCGTGGCTTCTTGTTAGCATCCTCGCTGTGCTTGATGTGAAACTGCCAAGAATGGATTAGTCTTCGAGGTCGGTAGGGAAATCTTACATTCCTCTAATGAGGTCTTCTTGCACTTAATTATTCATGAAAATTCTTTCTTATTTTACTGTCTTTTTCAAAAAAAATAAATAGAAAACTTTTTTATTCGAATTTAAAAAATTGAGCGTGTGGGGGGGGGGGGGGGGGGGGGGGGGGGGGGGGGGGGGGGGGGGGGGGGGGGGGGGGGGGGGGGGGGGGGGGGGGGGGGGGGGGGGGGGGGGGGGGGGGGGGGGGGGGGGGGGGGGGGGGGGGGGGGGGGGGGGGGGGGGGGGGGGGGGGGGGGGGGGGGGGGGGGGGGGGGGGGGGGGGGGGGGGGGGGGGGGGGGGGGGGGGGGGGGGGGGGGGGGGGGGGGGGGGGGGGGGGGGGGGGGGGGGGGGGGGGGGGGGGGGGGGGGGGGGGGGGGGGGGGGGGGGGGGGGGGGGGGGGGGGGGGGGGGGGGGGGGGGGGGGGGGGGGGGGGGGGGGGGGGGGGGGGGGGGGGGGGGGGGGGGGGGGGGGGGGGGGGGGGGGGGGGGGGGGGGGGGGGGGGTGGACCCGCGCCGCCGGGACTCTTTTCTTTGTGTAAAGTTGGCTTTGCATAGTTATATTGTGGTTGTGTGTGCCGTGCCAGGTTCCTTGCTGCTGGCGGGAGGCTTGGGGGTGAGTGCCTCTTGGTAGTGCCGTTAGTGCGTGGCGGGGGGCGAATGGAATTTGTACCCGGTTGGAAGAGACTCCGGGGTTAGTGTTGTTTTCTTGTGGGGGCCGGGAGGTTTGTTGGCTCGGCATGTATAGTTTGTTTGGCCACATTTTTTTTTATTTTATAAAATATACCGTGGTCTTTTTGACCCACTGCTTCGTTACTTTTGTTTATATTGCTAGTTACATGGAATAGTTTGTTTACTGGAATAAGACAGTGTTAAGCTCTCGCCAGGTGCAAGATAATGAAGAAAAAACGTCGATGGTGTTGGTAGCTCGTGCCGGAGAATGGAAAATTCCTGGTAGAGTGGTGTCGTGATGGCGGTGATATTTGGTCCAGCACCCACAGCTGGTACACGCGGTGTTCCAAAGATTTGCTTAATTTCCTATATTCTTGATTTTTGTGTTTTTTTTCGTGCTTTGGGTGTTAGTATTTTGGCTGTTTTAATTGTTTTTTTGTTTTTTTATATATTTGATAGAGAAACCCCCCCACCACATCCGTTGACGCTCAACCCCCCCATAAGAAGATTAAGAAGAACGCATACGCGTGGAGAAGTTCTCACAGTGAATGTATTGCTATACGTCGGCGATCGCACTTAGTGCCCCTCTGCCGTTCACTAAAAGTGCGAAACCCCCAAATCTGCGTGTGTTGATACTTTTTTTCTTTTTTTGGAGTTGGACACCTTGCGAGTTGTCATTTGTGCCCTTCGAGGTTCGGTTCACTAAGGTAAACCTCGATAAGGAGGCGTTTATCCTTCTAGTTAATTTTTTTAAAAAATCCACTTTAGACCATCCTCATTTAAGGAGTTCTGGGGGGGGAAAATTCTTCTATGGGGGCATGGGTTGGGGTTTACCAGTTGGCGGTTGTGTGCGGGGCGGTTGCAGACTGGTTTGCGGTTTCGCATATACTGTGATATTCAAAACACCCTCGTTCCGCCGTTTTGCTTGTAGTGCTAAAAACACAATCCCACATGCGAAATTTATTTGCAGAAAGTTTTTCTATTTTTTTTATTAATAGGAGGGGGGGTAAAAAATAAAGGGGGGGGGTTGGGGGGAATATTATCTTAGCCGGTGGGGGCCAATGTGGTTAACGTTGTTAGATCGGGAGTGGTTTCGGTCGTGAGGGTGATAGCAGCCCTATTCCCCCTGTTAGTTTAGGAAACCGTCCCTTTCTTTCCCCAAATCGTGAGTTCGTGAAGGGGTGTTATTTTGGAATGGGCGAGAGGGGGGGCGCCCCAATAAAAAAGTAATAATATAGCATGGGCGTGTGTTTCGTGGAACGCAAATCACGGGGAAAGCGATCTGGCATCCCAGCCAGAGCCCGAATATGATTGGTATTCACGATCGATGGGAGCAGGTCTGGGTAGTGGCCTTGCGCCGTAGGGGGGTCTGAGGAGTGTGGGGGAATCGGGGTGTTAGGCGGAGGCGGGGTGCTGGTGGGAGATGTTGGCTGTGAAACTTGTAGTGAGGGGTGGGTTTTCGGGTGTGTGTAGTCCTCCGCCGCTATCTTTTTTGTTTGTTTGTTTTTTCTTTCGTTTGCTTCTATTTTGCTTAACTTGCTCTGATTGGATTCTGAGATAGTGTGCGTGTGGTTTTTCCTAAAGGGGTTTAAGGATTCACATTTCAACCCGTTCATTTCACTTACATTGGGATCGTGCCCGGTGTTAGATGTGGTTACAGGGGAACCTTTATACGAGTCTGTTCATCTAGGGTGTGGGGGAGGGAGGGGCGGGGGAATAAGGGAATAAAATTTTGGTTCTGTTTCGTACTCTTGACGTGGGACAGCACAAAACCAAGGTTGGTTGTGGGGAGTGGACCCTCCAATAACCCTTCTTGTATTATTGTCCTAGAAAATTATAGAAATTTTCATATTACTTTTTCGCACTGGAACAAAATAGAACTGCGCCCGCGTCTCCCTTGGCTGTCTACAGAATATGTACAACCCATTCGTTTTTGTAGACCACCCTAACTGGAAAATAAAATATCCTTTGTTGTTTCTTTTGGTCCTGGCTGCGTGGCGCATGACGTGAGTGTCTCCCTAGTGGGTTTCTCTTAGTGTGTTTTGCGCGGTCCAGCGTTGGCTACAGTGTTAATGTGGTAATCTGCTACTTTGTGTTTGTTCTTGGTTAGTGGGTGCAATTTATGGGTGTGTCTGGATATCGGGTTTTTTTTCTTTTTTACTATTCTCTTGGGATCTATAAGGTGGGGTAAGTTCGGTATTCGTCGTGGTTTTTATTCCCCCAAAAAAAGGTGTTGCCCTCTCTCCGGGTTTATCAATGCATAAACATCATCAGATGGTTGCAAACTACAGGTTCATTCATGTAAGGAAGACTTTTAAGCGCGATAAGTTGTACGTGGGTGCTGGAGGCTCGGGCCGGTGACGATTCCCAGACCAATGGGACTTCGCTCCCCTCCGACTTGCCTCCGGCTGATGAGATTGCGTTTTGTTGTTTAGTTTGGACTTTTTTTAAAAGGAATGGGGATTATTTCATTCCTCCTTGTCTCCACCTTTTTTTTTCATTGTCCGCTGCTCCATAAGTACACTCGGAGAGTCCAATGCTAGTGGTATCGCTGTTGAGATTTGTTGCGAAATCCCGAAATAGCGCCAAAAATAAAATTACGTACTTTCTCATCAAAAGGAGCTGACAAGTTTTTAAATGCAATTACGGGCGAATGCAGCTCATTTTCAGAACTGGACCAGAGAAGGGAGGATAAATCGGAGAGCTGTGAAGTTGCTGCAAAGATGCCATAAAAAGTGCGCAGTTGCGGGTGCTTCTGCGTGCTGGGGGGGGGCCAGGATACTCCCCCGCGCTAAGTAGTCCTTAACCCCCCCCCCATGGGATGTATTCTAGTTGGTAGGGTTTTCTTTTGCTTTGACAGTTCTTGTGTTTTAGCAATTGTGCGGAGCCCCACGGCGTAGGTATCTCGCTCGCTGGGTGGTGGGGGGTGGGGGGGGAAGGAAAAAAATAAAAAGATTGGTCCACCCAATAGGCGCACGGGTGGACAAGAGTTGGTAACAGGTGAGAATCCATAGAGGGGGAGGTATAGACGAGGGAGGAGGAGGAGGTAAGTTTATTATTCTTTATTTATTTCCGGTGTATGGGAAAAGAAATAAAAAAGGGGGGGGAAAAGCAAAAAATGTGCGGGAATAGAAGGAATCAGGAAAAAAAAAAAAGAAGGATCTTGTAGTTTCGAGGCTCCCCCGCAAATATTCTCGGGTGTGGAGTGGTGTGAGATTTTAAATCAACTTGGTCATCAACCTTGTGATATTCTGTGTTCCCGTATGTGTTGTTTTTAAATCTCACCTGTAGTGTGGGGGGGGACTCTTGTCACAACAGCAGAGCAGACATAACCTACAACAAAAAAACGCCCGGTGTGGCTGGGAGGGGTTGACCAAAAAACGGGGGGCGTATACAAGCCATCAAAACGGTAAACCCCCGTTTTTTATTGCCCAACTCGGCGACGTCTTAGATGTGGCACTGAAATATTAATTTTTTTTTTTATAAAGAGGGTAGCGCGTCAAACCCTTTTGATCTTTCCACGTTTTCGACCCACTTCCATTCGGCAGAAAAATCACATGGGGTGTGACGAAATACACGTTTGTAGGGCGGGCCATGGGTGGGGGGGTTATTAATTGCCCGGTCGCCTTAGCAAAGGTTGTTGGCGAAAGTAAGTGTGCGCGGGAGGAGCGGCGTGGAGGGGGGGCGGTCGGTGGGCGGGAGGTTCGGTTTTCAGTTGGTTCCTTGCCGGGCCTTTGGGAGAGCCCTATTTTAATTGAAAAACATGCCAGCCTCGCCTGGAATCTGTAGTGGTATTTTTGTGGCCTGGGAGGGCGGGGATTGGGTTAAGGTTTGGTGTGATTAGTCGGTTGCCCTTATCGTTTCTTGATACCATGTACCGATGTTTTTATTTTTTAACGAGGTTTGATGTTGTTGTAATAATACTCGGTGGTTTTGTTGCTTTGGCTTGCCGACGTGTAGTGTGCTCTTCAGAACCAGGTTGTAGGCAGGTAACTTGTCGGCGTTGAGGCTAACCTCGAGGGGTGCTCGTGCAGCTTGCTGTCGCTGCAGTTGTGTACCGGAAGCCGCCCCCACCCAAAAGCATGTTATTGCCGACCGAGTGTTATTGCATCTCCGGTTCATTTAGTCCAAGCCGTCGGATTTCCGATTGCTGTACTATGTTAGTTACCCTTCGAAAATTTCACTAAAAAATACGGCATGGTAGCGTGGACGTCTGCAGCCTCTTCCCCCCGGCCGAAAACAGAGGATGCAGGGGAAAAATGGAGGTGTTGCTGTTGTTGGAGGGATCGGAGGAGGGATAGTGGATGGGATGGCGAAATGACGGGGTTTGGAAACCCCCCAAATGTATATTCTGGTCGATTTAACTTCGTTAACTTACCGTGAGTGGAATGTTTTGGGGGGAAAATGTTTTACGCCTTAGGGATTTTAAATGTTCGATAGGGGTAGGGGGGAACTTTGCGTGGCACGTAGAGATTTGTACTTCTTCGGAGGTTGTCGCGTACCGCGGAGTGGGTGGGGCTGTGTTAAAGCGCGATCTCCTTGTTGACTTGCTCCGTTTTAAGCATTGCCTACGCCCACAACAGTGCCTTGCGTCCAAGTTGTACGCTGGTACATTATCCCTGACCGACCCCCTTGAATATTCAAATATGTCCCGAGCGATTTGTAGATTTCCAGGCGAAAGTAATACTGGGTGAGCGTGTAGTACAGACCAGTGGCGCTGGTCGCTCGGTGTTATAGAGACAATTAACACTGGGTGTTACGTGGGGGTGGTTTGTGTGGGTTTGTTTTTGTGTCTTTTTTTCTGCTTGTTTGTTTTGTTTAGTCTATATTTTTTCTGGGTGGTGTGTTTTTAGTGCATCTGGTTCGGGGTTTCGCTTGGATTTGTTTCTTTATTTCTGCCGGCTTAAACCACATAAAAATTGAATGATAGGACATATATCCGTAGCCGATTCAGGTTCGGTT